TCCCAGGGGCTGGAGAGATGGCTCAGCAGTTAAAAGCACTGGTTGCTCTTGTAGAGGACCCGTGTTCGATTCCCAAGCACCCATATGGTGACTAACAACCATCTATAACTCCCAGTTCCAAGGGAATCCGACACCCTCTTTTGGCCTCCATGGGCATTGCATGACACGGGTGCACTTACATACGTGCAGGCAGTACAGTCATACACATAAAATAAAAATAACAAATAATTTTTTAAAAAAAGTTTCCCAGTGCCTCAGAAGCAATGATCTTCCTAGAACTGTAGGTACAGCTGGATAAGAACGTCCTGTGTGACAGGATGTGGTTAGTAGGAGTAAGGAAATGTGACTGTGCCAAACCAGCTATGTGAAGGAGCCTACCTGTGACAGTGGTGAGTTCCATATCAGCACAGGTCTGCAGGATAGTCTCCTTACTGCCACGTTGATAGACTGTGCCCATCTCTTTCTGGGAGGTGTAGGTACAAGAAAAACACTTCGTCCTTAAGAAAAGTCTAAAATAATTAGAGAATAAAACGTAGCTAATCGCTTCTCCAAAGCTGCCTTTTTGAAAAAAATATTTTATTTATTTTTATTTTCTGTGTATGAGTGTATTGCCTGCATGTAGGTGAGTGCACCCATGTTGTGCAGTGCCATGGAAGTCAGAAGAGGGCTTCAGATTTCCCTGGAACTGTAGTTAAGGATAGTTCGTAGCCACCATGTGGGTGCTGGGAATTGAACCCGGGTCCTCTGCAAGAGCAGTAAATGTTCTTAACCACTGAGCCATCTCTCCAGCCTCCAAAGCTGCCTTTTAAAATTTATTCTTTGACAGTGTCATACCTGTGTAATATAATTCTATTCACTGTCTTCCCATCCCACCCCCATCCTCCTCTCACTCCCACCAACATGCCCCGCTTTCCTCCACCAAGCCATTATTCTATTTTCTTCTCCTTTTGTTTTGTTTTTGGTGTTGCTTTGGTGCTCTAAGGTTAGCCAGGGCCTTGAGGTGTTTACATGCCTTTTGGCAGTGTGTTCTGAACACATTGTCTTGGCCTCAACACTTATTACAAAGGTTCCCTCCTCCTTTGGCCAGTGCTTGCTGCATTGTGACGGTGCACTGTCACTGCTGAGCTGGCCACTGTGAAGACAGATGAGCTTGTTCAGCTTCTTATAAGCTCAAAGGGGGAAGGGATGGGAGAAGCCCAGTCTCACTGGTGCATCTACATGTTCCTCTAGTCCATGGACAAACCTCACAGTGCGGGTTCCTGAATAAAGAGACAAGATGAAAACAGACACAGCTAACCATCACCTTATGAAGGACTTCCTGACTCCACTCCAAGGGGGTGGGGAGGGAGAAGCTTCATCGCTCCATTCACTCCATAGGGGATAACTTCCCCAGCTCCATTCAGTTTATGGGGGGTAACTTCCTCACTCTATTCTCTTGGGGGGGGCAGTGCTTCATCACACACACACATACACACAAACACACATACACACAAACACACACATACACACATACATACACACACACACACACAAACACACACATACACACAAACACACACACATACACACAAAACACACACATACACACAAACACACACACACACACACACGGAAGGGCACATCACACATGTACACGTCAGAGGACAACTTGTAGGAGTCAGTTCTCTCCCTCCACCATCAGGAATTCAGAGATTGAACTCAGGTCATTGGGCTTAGTGGCAAATGTCTTTACCTGGTGAGTCATCTCACCAGTTCAAAACATGTCTTCTCATAATTTATAATAGGTTATCCATGCCTGTTCTTAAGGTGGACAAAATCATTGTGATAGGTTTTCCTAGTTTTATAGATGAAAGGCTGCGCACATCTAATTGCATCGATACAATAGAACAAGGGATGAAGAGAACACTAATGCATCTTTCAGTTCTCATCAATGAAGCCCCTCATGCAACAGAGGGTCACAAATGGCCAACACACAGAGAATAAGTCTGCAGCATGTGGGTCCTTGGACAGGACTCATATTAAAATTCACCTGCCCAGGGCTCAGGGACCATTGTGGAAGAGGGGACAGAAGATTGAAACTGCCAATGAGGCAGTTCATGACCATACAGAAACAGTCCTACAGGCTCCTGGGACCCTCCTTATACAAACCTACAGCAATGGTGTCAGCATGCACAAGACCCTTGGAAACTTTAGCAGACAAAAACCCACCTCAGAACTGTGGAAATGAACAGCAGGCCCCAATCTTAGTTGAAGAATTATTGGCAGCTAATTACTGCTGAATGAAGAAATGCTGATCTTCTTAAAGGAAGGGACTCTAGATAGGCTGACTGGATCCCAATGGTTGAACTTGCACTGAGGGACATCTGGGGACACTAACTTTACATGATGGGCCTTAACACAGATGACAGAGTGTATGAACTCCAGTGGGGAGGGCTATAGAAGGGTGCCAGGGGTGAAGAGGGTGTAAAGATGGTTATCTGTGTGAAATACACAAAAATTCAGTAAAAATTTTGTTTTTTAAAAAAAGAAGAGCTTGCCAGGCATGGTGGTGCACACCTTTAATCCCCGCACTCGGGAGGCAGAGACAGGCGGATCTCTGTGAGTTCAAGATCAGCCTGGTCTACATAGTGAGTTCCAGGCCAGCTAGGGCTACAGAGAGACCCTGTCTCAAAAAGACACACAAAAAAGAACTCACAACAAGAAATCATCTTAGTCTTCTGTACTAAACCTAGTGACCTGAGCATCCCCAGTAAGTACTCTCCCACTGATCTATGCCTGCAGCACCTCTTTTCAGCACTAGTTGCATTGATATAGGGTAGTGTCCTTAAAAGGGATTGAAATACTAGGTGTGGTCTTTAAATTTTTTTTTTTACTTTATGTATATGAGTGTTTTGCATACATGTATGTAAGTGTACCATGTGTGTGCAATGCCCCTGGAGGTCAGAAGAGGGCATCAGATGCCCTGGAAGTACAGTTTCAGATGGGTGTTAGCTGCCATGTGTGTGGGGAGAACAGAACCCAGGTCCTCTGAAATTGCAGTCAGTGCTCTTAACTGCAGAGCTATCTCTCCAGCCCCTGCAAAGTGTGATCTTTACAATAGGCAGCAGGAGATGACAACTTATTTAGACTAATGTGGTCATGAGTGAAAATCAGTAAATGAAGTATTCATTTCTAGGTCAGTCTGTACTGATGTCAGCTGAGGATAGGTGGAAGAAGCAGAATTTTGTTGGTATAGAAGAAAGAGGCCTGGGAGAAGCTGAGTTGGGGCCTTCGAAGAGGTTTGTGAGTTTGGGCTCAGGAGCAAGGCGTGGGCAGAGCTGAGATGTTAGGAGACTCACACCACCCTTGGGGATTGGGGAAATTTCTGAGTGGCACACATGCAGCTCTGCAGAGCACACAAAGCATTTCTCACCCAAGTAGCAGAACAGGCAGTACGCAGGAAGGAGGAGTGAGTCCAGAGTTGTAAAGCAGACTGAACACTGCGTGGAGAACTGACTAGTCACAGACAATCAGAGCAAACATGTTTTATATTGACATTAACAAGACAGGAAAGTTGGTGGAACTGAGGAAATGAATGCTGAAAACATTCTTGGGGACAAATGAGTAACAACTGGATGGACAGCCTGCAGCACAGCTGTCCTGTTAGAGGAGAGAAACACATGAAGCTGTCGTAAGTTCTGACTCCGTGTGCACATGAGGTCTCAGGGTTTCCGCATCTACACATCTTACCACCTTGGGATTCTTAGCAACATTCCCCTTGAAACTCTAAATGCTGCTTAAGCTGTGAGAGAAATATGGGAAATAGAGAAAGATATACGGGTCTGACTAGCTGACTCAGTTCATCATTGGGACACTTTAGTAAAGAGGGGTAATTAACATGTGAGTACAGGATCAGACAGAGGTCACACGAGGACTTCTCTCCTTCAGGTGAGAGAACTTCCTTTTGGGAAAGAGAACTTCTCCCACTCCAGCAAATGCAGTCTTTGTCCTCTTGCTTGCCCACCCCTCATCATTTGTCTCCCTGGTTTGTACCTTTACATTTGCTGGCACTGCTCAGTCCCACAGCCCGAGGAGGCACTTCACATTGCTGAAAACCATTCCACGTAGTGAATGTATCTGATATTGAGAATTACTTGGGTAGTTCCTTCTCCGATGTCTTTTTCTTAGAAAATTACAAACATCCAGCCTTTTGTGGCTTTAAGCTTTTTATTTTTTATTGAACCCGAGAGAGATTTTATTCAGTCTGTACTACAGTGTAGGAGAATGTCTCCTGTCTGGATCAGAAGAATGACCTCGTGAGGTACTGCAGTCAGCATGCTCCCATCCTCTCAGAAGGTTGTGTAAGAGCCTGTGTCTGGTCGGAAATAGGGAAGTCAGAGCGGCTAGAGCCCTAAGTGACTGATTCCTTGTCACTGCTGCCCATCACCCTAAGGGAATCTCATTGTTTGTTCCTCATAGCCTGGCTTTACCTGCTACTGATTTTCCTTGAAATTAAGCCTTTCTTATCCAACATGGCCGCTGAGGGTTCTCTTTCAGATATTTGGGGTATAAACTTAAAGGAGAGAGATTCCTGGTAAATCGACTATGATCTGTTCCTTAGACGTATAGTTACTTCACCAGACTCTGTAGGCCTTTCCCCCAGCTCTCTTGCCTCTCCGGTCTTCTTTGTCTGATGGTCAAATTGAGCTGAAGGAAAAATATGTGGAAAATAGACAAACATATACAGGTCTGACTAGCGGACTCAGTTCATCATTGGAACATTTTAGTAAAGAGGGCTAATTAACATGTGAGTGAATTCTATATTTATAATTATAAATTTATTTCTTGGTGTTTATGGACTAAAGAGATGTGTGCCAGGTGCACAGGTAGAATTACAGGTACCACTTGTGTATTAACTATTTGCAATGATATTTTAAACACTTCTGTGTTTGTTTCTGTAAGTTTGGGGATACTTTCATGCAGAGGAGACAGGTGTTGAAGACTTGGAATTCTCCTTCCAGGAAACCTTCGAGAAGATGAGCTTAAGCAGCAGCAGCAGTGGAGGGGCCAGCCTGAAAAGCGAGCTTTTGGAAAGCGCAGATCTGCCGAGGGACATCTTCCAGCCCTGTGGGAAAGAGGAGGACAGGGCCTGCGAGGAGGTGCTGTCAGAGGAGAACTTCCACCTGGAAAGTGTGGAGAAAGGTGCTTCTGCCGCAACAGAGGTGTGGGCAGGACTGCGCTGGGGACCTTTCTGTTTCAAGGCTTTCTTCTGTTCAATGTGCAGGTACATATTCAGAGCTAGACGATGAACTGGACATCTTGGACAACTGTAGCAGCTCCAGTTCAAGCCCTCTGAAGGAATCTACATTCAGTAAGCTTGCTTCCCAAGTCTGCTATATGGAGGCAGCAGGTGGGGCTGTGGGAATCATGGGTGGATATAACCCGAGGCTGGTGTCCCAGAGCAGAGTGACCAGCTACCTGGCGGATGGTTTTTCTCATTTCTACCAGCAAACATAGGTACTAACTAGGGAGCTGAACTAACCAGTCTACAAGACGCCACCTCGGGAGTGGTGGAAGTGGCATTTCATCATTCTGTGGATTAGAGGAACTCGAAAACCCGTGGAAGAAGTTAGCTGTGGTGTACACTAGTTTTTGTAGAATTTTATTTACACTGATAGCCCTAGTTTCATTTCTGTTGCTTTCATAAAATGCCCTGACAGAGGCAGTGTAGGGGAGGAGGGGTTTGCTCAGCTGTAATTCCAGGTTACAGTCATTGAAGGGAAGTCAAGGCAGGAACTTAGTAGAGCTGCTCACATCACATCAGCAGTCAAGAGAAATGAATGCATGCGCTTGCGCTTGCGCTTGCAGTCTAGGACCCCAGCATAGGCAATGCTGCTGCACACAGTGGCTGGATCTTCTCACCGCAGCTAACCCAAGGATAAGAACTATCTCAAATGTTTAGAGCTATGAAAAATATAATATATAAATTCCACCCAAAAGTAGTCTTAAGTTGAAACCAAAAGAAATAATGAACAAAAAGCATATTGAAATGGGAAAGAAAAATCATACATTTAGATACAATCTAAAGAATATAAGGAAGATAGAGTAAAATGCATTCAACAGCTCTGAAGGAAAAAAATGTTAAAACGGAAATGGGTAAAGCTTAATTCTCTGAGATGAGTAAGTTGATAGGGTTTAGGAATTCTAATGAAGTATAAATAATTCTCTCTCCCCAATGATTCTATTACGAAAATCTCAAGAAAGAAGATTAAAGTAGTCCTGCCAAAGATCAAAGTGGAGCTAAGGGTTTAGCTGCATTCCTTGTCTCTTATGCTTAATCAGTCGAGCAAAATGGTGGCTAGATCTCTGATACAATCAGAGTCCAATTCTCTGTTCCCCTTTTTCTACAAGTTTCTTCACGTAAAGTACTGCCCTGATCTGTAGTTGGAAAATAATGAATGTTAGGCAAGAGAAATGTTTTCCTGAATGTAAGTGTGTAAGTGTGTAGCAAATTCTAGACGCATCCCATTAGCTTGGTGATGACTTGGGTGGTATTCATCCCTGGTAGCCATGGTGGATTGAGGAGGGGGAGGTGAATGAAGTGCTGGGTCCTGGCATATGTGTGGCAGCTTGAGAGTGATGAGGACACACACATGCTGTTGTGCATAACAACAATTTTTCTGTTTATCAAATTTCCTTTGGAAAAAGGTCCTTAAACCAACCAGTCAGATACATAGTAATTTTTAACATTATATTTGAGCTAATTCTTTCAAGAAGAAAAATAATATTTGCAGTTAAATGAAACCACTCAGATAGTGGAATCTCAACACTGAAGAAAGGGATTTCGATGTGCTGGAGATGTAGCTTGGGACCGAGCATTAGCCCAGTACATATGGGAACCTGGGCTCCCCCTCATCCTCAGCACTGAAAATAAGCAAAACCCATGCATAGCAACAATAAAAACCTTACTTTTTCAGGGAAATAATTTGAAGTTATTATTGTTTTCTTGTTTCAGGCATTTTAAAGAGAAGTTTCAGTGCCTCGGGAAGAGAAAGACAATCCCAAGGGAGGTATGTGTGTCTTGAGCTGTAGTGTTACCTATACTGTCAGACCTGGCAGAGCTGAGCCAAGTGGGACTCAGTTGCACTATGACTGCCAGAAGTCAATGTGGCCATGTAGAAACAGAGTCTGCCTTCCCAGGATCTCGGAGAGCCTACCTGGGATCGTGCTGGAGGGAGTGCTAAGCCTGGATCTGGATGTTGGTCTAGCTCTGCCTTCTGGTTCTGTGACTTCTGGATAGTTTTTCTTAGTTAGTCAAAGTGATAGAATAGCTATGCTCAGTGAGGTTACCTGAGGCCCTGGGTCCTTAAAACCTTTCCCTCCACATCCCCAGGGTATATGACTCATCTCCATGGCACATGTGGGCAAGGCCAAGAAAGGGAACTGGACCGTTCTTTTTAAGGATCTGACATAAATGCTGTGCTTGTGATCCCTGCTCACATTCCTTTGGCCAGAACTTCATACTAGCACATCTGGCTATGGGGGACAGTGGGATATATTTGAGGCATTCTGTTTTAAGACCAAGGAGAAATTATTTGGGGACATCCAATTATCTCTGTAACAGTTATCTTTTGGCATAAGAACTGAAAATAGACTATTAGATTTAGTTTTTACAAGTCCCTATGCCCCTCAAAAGAGCAGTTTCAGTGGCATTGTATGAAGATGGAGGGAGCCTCGAAGGCTGGCTATTGCAGTCTTAGAAGCTCCAGAGTCAGCAGTAGCTATGGAAAGTATGGAATGTCTGGAACAGATAACTCATGGGAGTGTTTGATGGAAAAGAGCCTTCTGGAATCAACGTGACTTCAGGGTATTTGGGATGGTGGAGAACCAGCCTACCAGGCAGGAAAGACATGATCAGTGGTGATTAGTGCCAAAGGGGAGGGTCCAGAGAAGGGGGGGTGAGGGCACTGGATTTCTCCATGTGGAAAGAGATAAAAAGAGTTAAGCTATTCAAATACAGAGGAAGAGGCTGTTAGAAGATGTTCTAGGCCACTGCACCAGAGGGCTGCCTAGAGTTCAGAATCCCTCTCAGCTGGAAACAACCAGTATAGGACTGGAAAAGGAGCTAAGCAGACAGAAAGGGACTGTTAGAGGCCAGGGTACCCCTTAATATTGGGAGAACACCTGTGTAGTGATGCCAGCCAGCCAGTAAATTCAGTATGAGGCAAATTCTGACATATAGCTGGACTTCCCAGTCAAGAGGATTTTATATTAAAATTAGTTTTTTTTTTCTTATTTTTATGCGTATAAGTGAATTGCCTGTGTGTATGTAAGTTTACCTGTGTCATGCAATACCCACAGAGGTCAGAAGAGGGCATTGGATTCCCCTGGAACTGAAGTTATGGATGGTTGTTAGCCATCATTTGAGTGCTGGGAATTGAACTCAGGTCCTCTGTAAGAGCAGCCAGTGCTCTTAACTGCTGAGCCATCTCTCCAGCCTCTAAAATAGAAATTTCTAATCAAATAAATTCAGGCACCTTCAAAGTACCAAATAATTATAATTATACCCTTAATTTCTAAAAGGGTACATGGAAAATTTTCTCATTTATAATGATTCTATTGATGTACAACCCTTCAAAACTAACAAAAATATGTGTATCTTAGATCTTGAAGGTATTTTTTTTTTTATAAATCTGGAAGTTATAAAATAGGGTTGTCAAGTGGCGGTTCACTCTGAAGCAGAGATGCTGCGGTGTGAGCTTTTCCATGCAATTATGAACCTGTGAGCAGACAGCAAAGGACCAGGACTGGGGCTGGTGCTTCTCAAAGCAAAATGTGTCTGAAGGTGATTGAAACCTGACCTTAAGGTTCATCCCGTTGCTGTGCCACGTATGTTGAGCATGCTGTGTGACAAGTTACCAGGCGGCACCGTTGACTTAAAACAGGCTTTCTGCCATGCAGGCACTCACAGTATGATGTGCATAATGCAAGACAGGGAAAATGCCAGAAGGCAGCCCGTGCTTCATGTTAAGTAAGAGGAGCAAGCATTAATGAACCTCTTTCTTTCCTCCAAATGATTCCAAAGGCTTCTCTGAATTAAAATGAGACAACTCTAAAGTATAATTTCTAGTTATTTTAAAGGCATTAAATAAAACTGAAGTTATTTTCAATCTAATTTGTTTAGGGTTTTCCTGGGCTGCTTCTATTAATATAAAATGTGAAGCCAACTAGTGTGTTTGAATATATGAAGATAACAGTACTACCTAAGAAGGTAAAAATAAATTGAAAAGTCAAGCCCATGGAGTTTTCTGGTGATTCTGTGTCCTACATGAGCTAGTGTGGCAGTGTTGGGGAACCCCACACAACTCTCAGAAAACAAGTTGGTCCTGATGAGCTCAAGTCACAGGAAGCTTGTGCCTGACAGGGGCACAACGTCTGGAGCATAGAATCCAGGCTTCTCTGTGGCTACACAGAAGAAAGCCTAGGCAAGAAATTCTCAGATTAGGTCACACCAGATGGCTAGAGCCACTCTTAAGTCCAACATTTGCCTACTGAGGACTGAAAGTGCTTTTCTAATAACAAGAAAGGCCTGGTGAAACTGAGGAAAGGAACTAGAAAGGGAAGCTCCTCCTGGGGGAGGGTGGCCATGTGAAGGCTGTAGAGGGCAGGTACAGCAGCATCAGGTGGCAAGTGTGGCCCCAGCCAGCATCAGAGGAAACTTTTTCAGGAGTCTGATTAATAGTAAGGACAAGAGAGGATCAATTCCCAATTTATTTGAAGTTTTGTTACTTCCAACTTGATCTAAAATTTCCTTTATGCACCACTCATCGTCTGGAAAGAAGAATGGTATTTTTATGCATACTTTGATAGTTCTAAGCCAGAAGGCATGGCATTTAATTTCAGTGTAAATTATTCTGTAAGGTGGAATTGAGTTAGGCATTGTGGGCTTTGGCTTCATGCTGCCACACTGGACTCAGGAGCTTCTGGCCTTTGAACAATGATCTGAAGGATAGCCCTTTGAACCAGATGTATAGTACATCTCTGTAGCCACAGGTTCTTGAGAGATAGAGGCAAGAAGATCCACTGAATTCAAAAGCAGTTCAGGCAACATAACAAGAATTCCATCTAAGGAAATAATAATCCTTATTTGTTCATGTAATGGGTATTTATTATGATTGCCAAGCATAGGCTAAATTGGATCTGGGTTTTTTTTCCCTGAGCTTTCCTTGGTACAGTGTGCTACATATTAGTGCCAATCCACAACTTCTTGTTAGATTTGTTCGTTAGTAAATTAATGGCTTATTTCAGTGTGATTTCTGAATTTCCTATTGTAAAGGACTAAAATCTTGCTCACTGCATTGACTCTATAGCATTAACCACAGCTTAAAGCCCATCATTTTTTTTTGTTGTTGTTGTTGTTGTTTTTTTTTTTTCATAAGATTCTGTTGCTTAGGCAACAAGATTTCTCCATGACTAACTTGGTTCCTGTTGCCAAGGCAACAGGGTATAGTTGACTGGTTGTTTGAAACATGGGATGTTTGCAGTGTGAGAGATGCCTGTGGTTCACGCCTTCTGTGATAAGCTGGTGTGAGCATGATTTTATCAGTGTGCTCCTGACTCCAGGTTTTGTATGAGATTGCTGTGGGTGTTTCTGACCCTTCAACATCACAGATGTGGCCAGAAGACCCACCTCTGTAGTCTCTTGAACCTGTGGCCCTTCCCTCCTAGTGGACATCTCACTGTTTTACTTGCGGTCATCTCTACCCCGCCCCCATTCCTAATTGGTGTCTAGCTTTGTTTCTATTAAAGTCATCTACTTGATCACTGCTTGCCAGAATCTGCCTGACGTCTCTTCCAGTGCTGTGGTCCAGAGGCCTTACTAGTGGCACAGCCGCAGCAACAAGCAGCACATGTCAGTGAGATCATGTCCCTTTTCTGTGGCAGCTCTGCATTCCTGGTGTTGCTCATTGGCTTTCAGCTCTAATCTAAAGGGAAAGCTGGGAGCCTGGAACCGCTTCCTCATGGCGATGCCATCTCTGAACATTAGAGTGGATGAAGGCCCTGATTAAACATGTCCAACCTCCCTGTCACTTGTCACACAGGACATGGTTATGAATGTCAAAAGAGTCTACTTAACTTGTGTGTTGTGGCTGCAGTAACCTCAAAAGGCATTTTCATAATATTATAAACCAAGCTTCTACTTTCATAGGATATATTTAAAGGATTTCTTTGAGAGATGAAATCCTAGAGCTTTCGCTCCTTTGTGGCCAAGATTTTAATGACAAAATAATCATCCAAGTAATTCACACTTTTCTGACAAAATAATTACCAGAGTAATTCACACTGTGCTTGAATTAATTCAATGAAAAGTCTATTTAAAAATATCACAAAGCTCAGGCCACACTCCCTGCCTTTCTGGTGAGTGCTTGGGTGGAAACACTAGGCTAACAGGCCCTGCCTCTCTTCAGTCTCTTCAGGGTTATATGAACTGTGGAAGAGGGCATGCTGGGTCTGAGGGCAGCTAAAGGTAATGGCCTTGAGAGCCCTTTCAACCATCCTTTTCTCCGAAATGCTGTCACGGTCATGACCTTAAGTGCTGGTCATGCCCGTTTAAAAACTTTCCAAAGACAGGGTCTTCAGTATGTGCATTCTTTGTATCAGGAAATGTGTCTGGAGTGTCCCCTTTGGGTTAAGTGTTTTCTCCATCCATGTTGAGCTACTGTGGAAACCACAGAGTTCCACAGGTCATAAACGTTCCATGTGCTTCAATCTGTAGCAATTTCCTTCAGGCTCTGCATCACTTCAACCATCTGCCCATCTGTGGGGCCCAGCAATTGCCTAGGAAAAGCTGTCACTTCTGTTCACAATGGATCTGTTCTATTTGTATATCCTTGTGGCTAATGACTTATCCTCAGAGAAATTAATAATTTTTCTGTTCTACTGACATAATCTTAGAAACCCAGAGGATGTAGAGAGAGTTTCTTCTCACCATCTGTTGTCTAGTGTAGGACTTATATAAGACTGGAATTTAATAAATACCTGTTGAAAGAATAAATGGATGGATGGGTGATGCTTCTTCTTGAACATTCCTCAAAGCTCATGTTTTAAAGATTTTATTTTATTTTTAATTATGTGTGTGTGGTACCTGCTAAGGTCAGAGGAGGACATTGGATCTCCTGGAGCTGGCTTACAAATGGTTGTAAATTACCATGTAAATTACCCAGTCCTCTATAAGAGCAATACTTGCTCTTAACTGCTGAGCCCTCCCTTGATTCCCCACCCTAAAGCTTATTTTAAAAAGAATTTAGAGTTACACAAAGGAGCAGCGAAATTGGCACAGCTCAACACAGTCAAGGGACCCGTGTCACATAGCCCATCACACATACCATATAGTAAGAATGTTTCGAATTGTTTCAGGAAGTAGCTGGGCATACATAACTGACTACAGCAGTCAAAATGTGCCTGGTGCAACCAAGGAGCCAAATATTTACTATGAGTTTAACTATAAAATTTTGTCAAATACCATTTTCAAATGTCAATGTGATCGTATTTTGGACATACTTGATTAAATAAAATATAAGATTAATTTCACCTTTTCTTTAAAAAAAAATTATCTACTTAGAAAGTTTAAATTTGTTTGTAACTTGGATTAACATTTTTACTGGACAGTGTGAAGCTCATCCCCAAGGCTAAGGGATGCAGCTGCTCAGTGCATGTAAAGTCCAGTTGTCTGTGAAAGGATGGAGAGGCCAGAGAATGCTCAGTTCTCCCCTTTCCAAGTCTGTCCTTTCACACTCAGCCAGCTGTGAATACATCTCATCCAAGCCTTGGGAGTGCAGATCTACCCTTACCTTCTTTAAGCATGCCTGTTATGAGGGCCAGGAAGAATTCACAAACTAAGGCTGACAAGTTTCCTTTATGTTTCAAGGCTTGGGAAACTTGAGATGACCCTGGGACAGGAAAAAAAGCCAGGAGTGGGGTGGTGTGGGATGCAGTAAAGGGAGGCCTGGATTGGTGGCTACAAAATTATGTGAAAAGGGTTAAAGAAGGAACTCATGCATGAGACAAATATTTTTCTATTATTCTAGTGTTGGGGAACCCTGCTGCTAGGGTTGTAGTCCTCCATGTCCGGATAGCTCTAAGGGGCTTGGCACTATATGGAAGGACTCCCTTTCTCAGCAGGGGACCTCCTGCTCTCGGCCTGACTTACCTGGAAAGTGCCACCAAGCATGGATGCCTGACCTTATTTTGAACATGACCTTTGGCATAGTTACCTGGAGTAAAAACTACTCCCAGGTTTTTTCTATATGCCCAGTAGTCAGATGATAGGAGCCTACTGCCACATGTAAATAAAGCATACTATGAGCACCTATCAGCTGAAGCATTGGCTACTGTCTCCACACAATATTTTCCCTTAACATCCCACTAAATAAAAAGAGCTGTTTCACTGATTCTGGAGCTGTTTGCATCACTGAACCTGCCTCCCCGGAAGGGCTTTCTTCTGTCAGTGCTCACTGGCGACCCCACATTCTAGTACTTAAGTTGGGTGCTAGGGAGATGTAGGGCACTTTTGTCGCACTTAATAACACAGATATGAGTTGCATACAAGTATTGGAAATCCCGTCATTAACATGTAAAGGTTGGGGCAGGAGAATTATCAGCTGTGTTTGCTACTGCGAGTTCCTGTGCCCAGTCCTGCTGGGCAAACACCCACTCTTCACTGTACACATGGCCAGTATGCATCTGTTGGATTGTGTGACATCCATGAGTTTATTATGGCTTGTTATGGTGCAGCTATTTGTATTTCATTAGAGAAAACTACTAAGGAATTGACTCTGTGTACGGTGGGAGAGAAGATGGAAGATTGTCATGAATACCCCTGTAGGGATGAAGGTCACCCCAATGGGGGAATGCTCTGGGACCGACTTTCAAATTGATCAACAATTTAGAATTTTGAGACAAGGCAAGCAAAGGATGTTAATAGACCTGAAAACATTAAGAAAAAAACATAACTTATAAATGCAAAAATCATCTCATTTCATAGTAATAGTTATATGGTCTGCTTTTTTTTTCAAAATATACTTTTAAAAAATTTTTTATTGAGCATTTGTAGTTTTATACAACAGTTCTTAATCAAATTCAGGTCCCCTCCCCCAGCCCTGCCCCTCCATCCAGTCAGGCATTTGTACCCAGATCTCCTTCAGTGTATATTAGTACACTGGAGTCTAGTCAGCCCATCTAGAGGTCATATGTAAGGCAGACTCTCCCTCGTCCAGCATCAATCAATCTCCAGTAGTTCTCAGTCTAGGGCCAGCCTATTTTTTTTGTTGTTGTTGTTTTCCTTGGAAGGCAGCAGAGACAAATCATGGAAAATATCACATATAAAAATTGAATGTTGGGCCAGGCTTGGTGGCGCACGCCTTTAATCCCAGCATTGGGGAGGCAGATACAGGCAGATCTTTGTGAGTTTGAAGCTAGCCTGGTCCACATAGTGATTTCTAGGACAGCTAGGGCTACAGGGAGACCCTGTTTCAAAAAGACCAAAAAAAAAAAAAAAAATTGAATGTTATTTGTCTGTAATACAAAACCACAACCAGGCATGTAGCATATGCCTCTAATCGCAGCACTTAGAAGGTGGAGGTAGGATGATCAGGAGGTCAAAGTCAGTCGTAGCTGATAAAGAGATTAAAACCAGTTTGGGCTACATGCTACATGCAACCCTATCTCGATAAAAAGAAAGGAGGGAAGGAGGGAGGGAGGGAGGGAGGGAGGGAGGGAGGAAGAAAAAGAAAAATCACTGTCTTCAGTGTGACAGAAAATCATTCAGAACATTCAGCTTTAGGCTGCTGCTCATCTTGAAGGCTTAGAAGCCATTCTGGTAGTACAAGGAGCTTCCCTTTGCCAGTAGGAAATCCATTCTGTCCTGTGTTCAAATGTGTTCATTTCTTTCTTGATTGAAGTCTGGAGAATGTCCTGAGGGAAAGTCATTTGTGTTCATACAGTGTAGACACAGCAGAATGTAATTCTGTTTGTCACCGGGTTGGTTGGACCCTTCTAATGGCTTCTGATTCTGTTTCCAGGGACTTCATCGGTGGAATAGGAAGACCAAGACCAGGTAACTGAGAACTGACCCCAAACACGCCTCCCTGAACCCAGTACGATGTAGGCCTCAGGCTCACACCTTTCCTTTTCTTTCTTCAGCTTTGCTGCCTCTCGACCTGCTTGTGAAAGTGCCACCTCTCATGCTCAGGGCTGGCGTTAAGGAAGTAGAGGCCGAGTTAGTGGCAGGGTGGCAGTCCCGTAGCCTGCCTGCCGCGATTCTCCACAGTCTCAAAGATCATGGTAGTACGCCTTAGATCATGTTGATGTTAAGCACACAGTGAGTGAACACAGAATTAGAGTTGGGCCTAAAATGCCTGAATGACGTCTGAGAAGAAATTTTAATACAAATCGCAAGAGAATTCTATTTAACTTGCTTACCACGGTTGCAGTTTAACAGTACCAAGCGATTTGTGTCCACTTATTGATCGGAATATTATAGGTTGGTTTTCCAAAATTTACATTTCTGCCTTGGTGGGAATGCTAACCAGTTAAGCTATGGATGCTTAAATTATATAACTACTAACACAAAATAGTGAATGCTTTTTTAAAAAATATTTATTATTTTTATTTTATGTGTACGTGTGTATTGCCTGCGTGTAGGTAAGTGCACCCATGTCGTGCAATGCCCGCAGAGGACAGAAGAGGCTGTCGGATCGCCTGTGGGTGCTGGGATTCGAATCCAGGTCTTCTGCAAGAACAACCAGTGTTCTTAGCCACTGAGCCATCTCTCCAGCCCCGTGAATGCTTTTTTATGTTGATATTTCTGAAAACACAATCTCTCCATGATACCAGAATGTAAATCTTTTTTCTACCTCCTTTACTTTGACACAGGAAATTCATTTTAAGTAAACTTTGATTGAAATGAGATTGTATTACATAGTTTCTTTAATTTAAAAATTATATATCTTTAAATTTTATTTTACTTATTATTACTGTGTGTGTGCTAGTGTGTGCTATGTCACACATGTGGAAGTCAGAAGACAACTTTGTGGAGTCAGTCCTCTCCTTGTATCTTGGGTCCTGGGGATGGAACTTGGGTCATTGGGCTTGAATGGCAAGTATCTTTACCTACTGAGCCATCTCATCAGCCCCAAATTATAAATTTGAAACATAATTGTTTATGGCTTGGGAAGAGAAGGATATTGGCTAAGGGAGCCAATGTCCAAAAGTAACAGTAAGATTTTCAGCTAAACCTATGCAATCCGGCAAAAGTTTAATGAGTCTACTTTTTTTTTTCTTTTTGAGACAGGGTCTCCCTATCGCCCCATCTGTCCTGGAACTTGCTTTGTAGACCAGGCTGGCCTCATACTCACAAAGATCTGCCTTCCTCTGTATGGGGATCAAAGGTGTGCGCCATCACGCCCAGCATGAGTCTGCTTTTAACATATGTGTAACTGTATAATGAGTGTGTGATTCTTAAGCAAAAAGTTTCACTTTACTATTTCTGTTACCTGGAAGTATAGTTTGATGCCCATTTCACTTAGACTTCATGTTTTGTTCAGCTAGAATGTATAGTGAACACAGAAAACAGTCTATAGTGAACACAGACAAAGGGAATCTGTGGTAAACACAGACCATGGGAATCTGTGCTGAACACAGACCATGGGAATCTGTGCTGAACACAGATCATGGGAATTCTGTGTAGTGAACATGAACAATGGGACTCTGTGGTGAACACAGATCATGGGAATGGATTTACAAGTTTAGGCCATGTCTCTCCATTTATTAAACTTTCTTTGAAAGTGTTATTGACAGTCTAAGGCCATCACAATTTCAGTATAGAAGCAAAACGATGATTTTGAAGGTATCATGGTTGGCTCTGATACTGTTAATTTGTCAAAGGTAAGTTAGCAGCACAAGCATTAAGGTGAAATGATTTCATCCATTTTATAACAGTGAGATTAGGACTCCTCCAGATGCAAACAAGTCACAGTTCTGTTGTAATTAAAAGTAGGTATTTCGAATTGGTGTAGTGTAGGGCTTGATTTTAAGCAAGCAATTTATGCTGTAAAACAACTCACATGTAATATTCCTCTTATTCCTATACTTTTTCATGCCATCCAATTAAAGTATTTCGATTTTATATATTTAAATTTTTGAATCACAAGGCACTATAGGATAAGTGTCAGAAAATGCTACCTTGTACTCATAAAATAAGCTGTTCCTTTCTATGAATCTTGTATATACTCATACACAAGAGGAACGGGCTGTCACTATAGCCAATCTGCTTCCAAGTCGTAACATCTGGTCTGTGCTTTTCCCTTCCTACCACAAAATTGTTTTCCTGCATATTGTAAAAGTCATACTTTTAAAAGTGTCACAGCCAAATTTGAATTGTTGGTGGTTTAATAAATTATGAATACCCCAGCAGTAGCTTCATTTGCTCAGGTCACCTCGCCTGCAGGTCACTCTTCTTTCCTGTGACCACAGTGACATTTTTGGAGTCTGTGAGTGTAAAGGGGTGACCCTGATTCCCTACCCCAACCATAGGTGCTGTGACATTGGTTGTGAGTTACATGTCTACTCTTAGGTACTAAGACAGCAAAGCATGGCCTGAATGGATGATTTGTTTTAAATAAAGCACATTCTAGTCATGAATTTTATTTACTTAATATTTAATGTAAATTTCTTAGATGGAGAGGAACATGTTATAAATTAAACATCATTAACATCTAACAGCCCTGGGTTTCCTAAATATCCTATAAAAATAAAAATGGAAGTGAGGAGAGAATTTGGTAAAAATTTGGGCAAGCTCCCAGTAACACAGCCAGCATCTGAGCATCACTTTCCAAGCACTGTGATAGAAAAAAGATGAGAACCTTGATTTTAGAGTCGGGTGTGCCTGACACACGATCTTACAGACTGGATCTCAGAGACCTCAGTTGATCCTGTGCTAACAGCAGCATTGAAGGACATACCCACACACTCACTCCTGTAGAGCCAGTAACACAAAATTACTTTAATGTTCTTTTAAAAAATGCATGTTCTTTCTTTTAGTATTAATTAGATTGTATCAATAATTTGTTTACTCATATTCCTTGGGTGAAATAACCGATGTAGTACCTGGTTAACAGGAAATGAAAACAGGAATCCTGTACATTGTGAGAGTTAAAACGTTGACAGCAGTTAGCTTGGAGTCAGTGAGTGCGTGAACGTGTTTCATGTTATTTTAGTTCCTTTTTCCAACTTCGGTCACTTGTAGATCTCTGCTGAACCATATCCGAAGTACCACAGAAGTATTTCCATAAACAGATGGCAGTTCTAAACATAAATAAAACTCTTAGAAAAACATCTGGCTTCTATAGATATTGTTGCCTGCCTACCCTGAGCTCCGATGCTGTCATGAAAGAACAGTAACTAGCATTTGAGAAATGAAATGTGTTTCACTGAAACTTCATCCCTGATGTTATCAGTAGAAAGAAGAGAAAATTGGAAAAACAATAAACTTTCCATGGTGGCCTGTGCTCACAACATGAAATTAACTGTATAAATATCTCAGGCCCCAGGAAACTCAGCTTTTTTATAAACAGTTGATTGGGTCTGCTGTCCGTATAGTCAAACAACTAGATATTGATGAATATTTTCCTCTTGAGGCAAGGGAGATGACATATATTTTTGAAATTGAAATCATATGAAAATATAACAGGAATGTTTTGTTACACACAGAATATACACTATAGTGTTATGACTGCTATCAGTGTGAGTTGAATTTGACTATGTGCCTGTGTGCGTGCATGTGGTATATGTATTTAGGTTTGTGGGGGGGCATACATGTGTTTTTGTGTGTATGTGTTTGCATGTGTGCATGCAGATGCATGTGGAGGAGAAAGGTTGATATATAGTGTCTTCTTCAATCACTCTCTACCTTATTTTTTGAAGCAGGGTTTCTCACTAGACCTGGAGCTTATCAATTTGACTAGGCTGGCACCAGGGAGTCACCTGTCCCCACTTCCCGAGTGCTGGGATTACAGCTAGGTGCTGCCACGCCTGGCTTTTGCCTGGGTGCTGAAGATCCAAACTCAAGGCCTCGTGCTTGTGTAGCATGCTGGCGCTTTACGCATTGAGCCATCTCTCCAACTCTCCAAAGTCAAATTTTAAAAATGCAGATGTAATGTTAGCTGAAAGCATGGCCAAATTTGGCTGGAGTAACACTGAAAATTTCTCCTCCCTTGCTCAGCTTTTCATTTAGACAGTACATGACACTCAAACCCTGAGTGGATGTATGAGCGTTCCCAGGCTCTGCATTATCAGTAGAAACTGTTACTCCATGATTGCTGGGCCCTTAGGTGATTTTAAATGACTGTGAATCTACTTTTATACTAGTTTTTGTTCATAAAGGTCAGATCTGAAAGAAAGTAGTGTTTCACCCAAATATTCCATAGTCACAGCTGATACTCTGCCTGTCTGCCTATGGGCAACCCTGAGTTACTGACATATAGTATGGATAACTGCTTTTCACATTGTCAAAGTAATTTTAGTACACGTTTTGTCTTGTTTTATCATAATAGAATTGTTTCAAGTCTATAAAAATTAACTCAATGCTGGGTGTGATGGTACACACCATTAATCCCAGCCCTTGGAAGACAGAGGCAGGTGGATCTCTGAGATCCAGGACAGCCTGGCCCACATAGTGACTTCCAGGCAGGCTGGGACTACGGAGACCCTGTCAAAAGAGCTAGCTCATCATATTTCAGTCCAAATTCCTGATAGTAGTCTATATCATGTAATTTGGAGCATAGTTATATACCTAGTGTTTTGTTGAGATTTGGGATATATTATCTATATTTATCAACTAGGTAAGTATCTTCAGTGGAGTTTTACATGTAGAAACACATGCATATATACCACAAATACACACAGGTACATATACATACAGATACATACATATACACAGATAGACATATACACATTTAGACACATGCACACATACATACACACATATGCACACAGTAACACACACACACACACGAGTCAGTCCTATGAGATCAGGCCTTGGAAACAGCTTACTGAGTAACTGATGCTGCTCCCCTACTGTATAAACCCTTGTTTATTTTGTTTTAACCTGAAATTCAAACTCCGAAATGCTCCAAAGTCTGAAACTTTTAAAGCACTGACATGAACAATTCACTCCAGATGTCATGTGATGAGTCACGGTTGCTAAATTATTGTGTGAAATTAAGTTCAAGGTATGTGGGTGTAAGGTATATATGAAATTGTATTCAGGCTTGGATCCCATCCCC